AAATTGTTCATCTACAGCGTGTGACTGGTCGCAACTTTAATGGATGTCCAACTACACGCTGTATAAATATCCCCCCCCCCCCCCCCCCCCTTGTCTTGGACGAAATATTTGGTGAGTGCCGTAGGCGAGAGACATAGAGCTACCACGAGCAAGCCGTTGTCGACCCTAGCGGCGCACAATTTACCAACTTCGTCTGACGTGCCACGGAGATGCATTTATTTATTTATACATATTGCTCGCCCGTGGGATGTGGCAGGGAGGAACATATAACAAAACGATCGATGGGTACAGCACAGACCCGTACCCAGGTAGATGGCCACTTGGATAACGAGTACACCACGTTTTCATACGTGCCGGTTGCGTAAGCTCCGTTCGCGTAAGGTTGTAAGCGTTGAAGCTGACGTGACCTTACGTGCTTGACGTCGTCCTTGACGTTGTCCTAGAGGTCGTCCTATAGGTGGTCTTCGACGTCGTCTTTGAAATCGTCCTAGGGGTCGTCCTTGAGGTCATCTTAGACGTCGTTCTTGATATCGTCCTTTAGGACGCCGTCTTCGACGTCTAGACGGAGTCCTTGCGGTCGTCCACGTCCTTTACTCGTCCTAGACGGCGTCCTACAGGTCGTCCTAGACGCTGTCCTTGACGCCGTCCTTGACGTCGTCCTCGCTGTGTGCACGGCATATTACAACCATTTCATCACCGTACCATTCCTAATTGTTTTCACTAACGATGTTCCTGTAAAACTACCGCATTTCATCACGTTTGGTCAAATGAACGTGTTTGTAATTTTGTTTTAGTGGAATTTCGGATGGTAGTTGTGGATATATGAAGAATTTAAGGTAAGGGGAAGTGCAAAAACTGACACGGAGAGAGGAGCTTTAGCACTACCATTTGCATTCGCCGCGAACTGCCCCTTTCCGCATCTACCGCCTTTTGGGAAAAAAATTAATCTGCATGTATTTGTATCTGTATTCTGGGATACTTTATGGCCGTTATTGAGAAACGTATATCAGGGTTACACAAAAGGCCAATATTTGTCACTATCTGTATTTTAGGCGTAAAGTGCATCTATTGCAGTACTTGTATTCCGAAATTACTTTTTGAGTGGCACTGCCCAGCACTGATAGCAGCCTACCGGACAGCCGCCGCCAGCCAGAGCCTGCTGTCGGCTAGGGTGTTTATGCGCGCGCGCCTCCTCCTCCCCTCGCGCGCATAGAAGCACCCTACTGTCGGCTAAAGCCCCTCGATGTGTTTGCGCTTTTATCAAGGGGCTTTACTGTCGGCGAGCCCGCAACACCATCTGCCGACGGTATTTCAAAACGTGCTCGCTTCTCCACTGGCAACCTCGGAGGCCGTTGAGAGCGGTCTCGCGATTCCTACTAGAGGGGGGCATGATCTAGGCGCCGGTAGCAGCGCCACGTCGCACTCGCACGAGAAAAGAGGCGTTGCGGACCGACTGACTGCATGCAGACGCTCCTTCGTTGAGCGGGCAAGTGTGCGGACGAAAGTAGAAGGGCAGGAGTAGACAACACTACCTGGAATAATTAAGCCCGTGCACTAGAATTTGATGTCATCACAGTAAGATCGAACGTAGACAAAGATGGGACACGAGTGCTGCTTCAGCATTCGGCAAAGTATCGTATCCAGCCAATGCGTCGGAGGACGCTCGGCGCCGGGCTCTGGCCCAATTGCCGAATCGGCGCCATCATAGAGCGATGACGTCTCACGGAGGTAGAGGAGGCTGTTCGCAGGTTCTGATTATTCCCCTTTCTATTGCTCACCCTACACGGGTGGTGACGATCGCTTGCTTTGCCCAAAGGGCGAGAGAGCTCCCGCGATTCAGCCTAACTTCAATCCGCAATCACCAGCTACTCAATCATCATCATCATTATCATTGTCGTCATCGTCATTTATTTTTCCTACGCGACCCGAATGGATATCGTCATAGCCTCCTCTATACTGACAGAGCCTTGCAGATTGCCACGAGACGCGGCCGCCAAAAGTGAATAGGTAGAGCGGAACACAACGGATGAGAGGAGAGGCATGTAACGGGCGCCCCGCCGCGGCGAGACGCCGAAACACACTTGTCCCGAGTGTTGGAATGTCCGTTCGTGCTCCTCGCGGTCCTCAGGCTACCGCTTCTCTTTTCATTGGGGTCGAAAACCATGTTTCGGGTCCTCGCCGCTGCAAAAGCTGTGCGCTGACTACAGGCTCCCCGAGAAATGCTCTGTGCTAGCAGATCCTCGCGCTCCAAATCTGCGACCGCGCACTCTATTGCTCCTTCATCGAACTGCCAGGCTTTGTGAGTATAGAGGAGGCTATGGTATTGTAGAAGGAAGTGGGAATACACATATAAAAAAATCACAACATGAATGAATGAATGAAGGAATGAATTCTTTACTTTCTTTTTTCTGCAAGATAGTAACTAGAGTAAAACGCTCCTTACAAGAGTAGCTTGACGGGGTCCTATACCTCCAAAGTGGCAGCTGTCAACGTTCAGCAGCTGCTGAATGTGCTGTAATTTTACAGAAAAGCACTGGAATCAATGAGGGTATAGGCTGCTACAAATACGAGTACATTAGTGTCATTTAGAGAAATTATGAGGTCCGGTAGTGCATTCAGTATCTTACAACCTGATAAGATTATATTGCTCGTAATTTAAGAGATCGGTTGAAGCGAGGAAAAATACGGTAAGGGATATTATTGATTATCTCAGATGAATTTTGCGATGAATGAGTAGTTCCAAGAAATGGGACAATTTGCGACCGAGAAATAGTGTGGCTATAGGTTAGCTGACTGGCTAATAAATATTCGCTAGTATCTGTAGAGTAGCAAAAATAAATTAACCGAAGTGCTCTATTTTGAACGGCTTCTGGGAATGATTACTTGGGTGTGATTACCACGAAGACCATAGAAAAGAAGCGTGTGGATTTCGTTCCCTTCAACTTTCAGCTGCAGTAAGGGTGCAAAAGGCCGCTGCATGTTGTCGGCTGATGAAGTATAGCCTGCTCTTCTAGACTGAATCGCGGGACCGCTGTTGCCCGCGCGGTCGTCACGCCTCCTTTTTTAGACCACCACAGTACGGTCTTTCCATAGAACACAAACCATACACTATAATAGCGTATTTGATAATAGTCAGTGGCGGCATAAGAAGCGCAGGGCGTAGAGAGTCATCTTGTTGTCTCTCTGAAGCCAAGGATATTGGGTCATAAGCCAAGAAACGCGCCAAAAAATCAATGGCAAAAAAAAGCGTCAACATAAAATTGGCTGCTACCTCCAAGGTCCTATGATGCATGAAATGCAGCATTGAAGGTGCGATCGCTTGAAACTAATTCGAATACATGATTAAACCATCCTTTCAGGGAGCGAGAAGGAAGCTTTGTTTATATCAATAAACCGATCTCACCAAGCGTTCGACACATGCGCGAGGCAGCCATAACTAGACATAACTTTAGTTTACAGGAGGCAATCGGCAGTGCACGAGACTGTTCATGCCCTGCACGCGCAGAGCTCTAGCGAGGCTGTCGCACGTGCGAAAAGACTAAAGTTCCCTCGATGCATTGCGGCAGCAGTGGCGTAGTCAAACTGGCTGGTGAGATCGGTCGTCTATTTGCCCGCTACATTGAGCGTGGAAACTGGGAGGATAGGTCACGTGGCATCAATTTCCCCTCGAGCAGGGAAACTAAGTTGGTGTAGAAATCACGTGACGTCAAATTTTCTACTTGATTTAATGGGAAAATTGCATTATGCCAGGTGCAGTCAGGGTACGTGACGTCAAGTTCCCCGTTAAATCTAGCGGGGAAACTCAAGGCATTTAAGCCACGTGACATCGATTTCCCTGCAAAAATTTACAGGGAAACTGAATTGGTGTAAAGGTCACGTGACATCGGGTCACGTGACATTAAATTCCCCGCTACATTTAGCGGGGAACGCGAATTGATCTATAGCTCACGTGATGTGAATCCCGTCACCCCGATTTTCCCGTTGAATTTCGCGGAGAAACGAAATTGGTGTATAGGTCACGTGACTTCAGGTCACGTGACATAAATGTTCCCGCCGATTTTGGCAAAGAAACTTAATGGGTGCATAGATCACGTCACGGCAGATCACGTGACATCAATTGACGTCACGTGACCTAACACGAATTGAGTTTTCCCGCTAAATGTAACAAAATGGCGCCGCCCTGAGAGCACCAAGTGGAATGGCTTCAATCACAGACAGCTTGAGAAGCGTACGGCGTGGTTTCCTTTGTTCACGTTTTCAAAACTGAGAAGAGCTCGCTGTTCATCATAACTCTTGCCAGATACTGCCTGTCGACGTCTCTCTCTTTCTATATGAAGTAGCCGGTCATTTTTTTTAATTACCCATGTCTCCAAATACATCTGTTTTTCCTTTCTCCTTCTTTTGAACGGCCCACTCAACGAACTATTTGGTTTGTCGAGGTTATACTTGGTTTCATCTTTAGAAAAAGTGGGGCCAAAAGCTGGGAGACACACAAGCACGAACACATACAATAAAAGTGCTAGGTCACAGCACATTCGCTGTTTTTGATACGTTTAGCTAGCGGAATATAGTATAGTACACGCAATCAAACATGACGGACGCAGTGACGTTGCACTTTTTGGCGCTGCTGGATTTTCCCTGTCGACTCGTCACTTCGTATTGCTTATTATGCAGCCGAAAATTGCTGAGTCACTGGGCTGTGTACACATGCGCGGCGTGTGATATTCCGCAAAACAAAGCTATTGCGCATAATCAAAACGCCCAATGGACGATGACGGCAGCATGCAGGCAGAAGGCCATTATTCTAATGGGTGGTCTATGGCCGAAACCGCGGCCAGTTTTTGTCCGCGTATCTATATAGTCGTCTCTATCCTGTACGCCCTGGAAAGAGCCCAATGGTTTGTCATCATCGTCCCTTTGTTGAGCGGCGTATCAATTCTTCGTCGACGATAAGCGTCCAGCAGAGCCTTTCGTCTCGAGTGCCTCGACGGATACGAAAATGTTTGCTACGTGCGGACCCCAAGAACGCCTCGGCGGTATCGTAGTCCCCCAAGATAATCGCCGAGAGAAATCGGGGACTCCGGTTCTACGCTGCCGACGTGCTCCCAATGAGTCTGCCCGTCGAAAACACGGGGTAAGCCTGCCTGACTTGTTCGAGGTTCCCCATCCTTACTATATGGTGCTACGTGTTAATTTACTACCGCTCGAGGAGGATACAATAGCGATCATTTATTTATGCGGCAGCGTGTGGTCGAAGCTCTAGCGTCGAGTATAATCTTATCTATATTTACCGGCGATCAATATCCTCACAACCGCCCCTTCGCGAAAAAAAATTCGGTCACTCGACTGCAAGAGTTCGTCTGCCGATTCACTCGTATTTGAAACTCGGTTTGTAAAGAATTTTATCGTGAGGGGAAATAGCGCTTATGCGAAACCATAGTGCTAAATGATCTCCCCGCGGCAATCACGCAAAATCGATTCCCTCCCGCTAACCGATCAAATGAAACACTCAAATAAATATACACTTTACAAGATCTATTGCTAAAAAAACATGCGCATCACATTTGTGATTACACACATGATCACTCATTTGTCGACGCTCGTGAAAATCAGCGATCATGGAGTTACGCATGTCGACTACGCCCAGCACTTCTGGAGCAATTGCTACAGTCACTGACAGTTTAAGAAACCCAGGGCTTATTATGTTCGCGCTTTTTGCTCTGGAATTGGCTGTTGAATGTCCTTAATCGACTAATGCCACAATCTGATTGGCTGCGGGGACGATAATGAAATGTCCGTGGGGTTTGCCACGCCCCCCGTTGCTTCAGCTGTCAGAGACACCGTAATCGTATACAGACGCCGACATGACCAGGCAAGCATATCTGCGGATGCATCATGATCTTATATCAAATTTACCTGCTGCGTACTAGTTAGCTAAACATTAAAATAAAACAATGAAACGAAAATAGCGCACATAAGAAAAGACAATGACACTCTATTTCTAAATTTTCAACGTTTATAAAAAGAACAAAGAAATTGCTTTAATCTTTTTTTTTATTTGCACGTGGCGTTGATATTTGTTCATAAAATCCCCCAGAGTTGTGCGCAGAATTTTTTTTTTTGTCGGAAACAGAAATTGACGTTGAATTCATTGCCTATATCGCCCCTGAACATTGAAATGTGGATAGAAATGGCCGCGGACACGCAGTGGGCATGTGAAATCGAAAAAAAGAATAGTTCTGGTGTGTCTCTCTCAAAAACACAGGCACGAAGCCCCGGCTGTTTGAAGTGCTTCGTCCGTATTCGAGCTGCCACGATGAAAGCACGTGCTGACTCGACCTCTCCGCTGGTGGGGGACATTCTACGACAGTCACTGAACTGTGTCGATACAGTCGAGTGATTGTTGTAGAACCAGTCGACGAGTGATAAAAAAATGACAACTCGAGCTTTTTTTTTTGCATTTTGCTTTTTTTAATGTGTATTTGTTTTAGAAATGACATTCGTCTATCATCAATTACTGAAGAAAAAAATATAGGTTTGCCTTTTGAGTTTCTTTTTTTTTTTTTTTTTGCAGTCATAACACACGTTACGCAAATCACTGCAGAGATCTTAAGTTGCCGGCCAAGTCTGAGCAAAACGCCCTCCGCCACTTTGAAGCTCCGAGGAGATTTTTCTTTAGTCAGCCCGTTCAAACGTTCAAAATACTTCCTTTGCCTATTCGCGAACCTTTTTCCCTCCGCCATTGAACCACTCTTGATGCCCCTTGTTCATTTGGGAACAAAATAAGATTAGTAAGCGGAGCCTAAAGTAATTTCTCCAAAATAGAGCGATCTCACAGTTAGCTTCATTACGCCATTGCTGCCGCCATACATCGTGGGAACTGTTGTCTTTCTGCACGCGTAACAACACCGCTGGGGGTTCTGCGCAAGCAGAGCACGGGGCGGCACGAGTTGTCTCGTGAACTAGCGCCTGCCTTCTATGAACTACTGCTATGGCAGCGTTGCTAGAGTGTACTAGAAGGTACACACTCTAGCGTTACGCTTAGCGAAATCGGTCTCTTGGCCGACTGCCCTCGAGGATGCGCAAGAACTGGAGGAAAAATATGGAGCGAATATTATGCCTCTTCGTGTTGACATTATTTACAACGTGCGAGGACTCCTAGACACGCGCGCCGAGATAACCTGTCAGAACCCTGCTGATAAAGTATCCAGTTACAGCCCCCTCATTTTTTACTTTATTTGGCTTTGGTGTTTTCTGACCTTATTGCCTTTCGAAGACAGAAAAAAAAATATTACTCGGTTTTGTACGAAAGCCTTCCAATGTCGTTATTTAATCGACTGACGTATACGTAAGGAGAGTTGACTACGCCCGCGACAAAAGCGAACCCTTTTCTTTTTTCTTTGTGTCTACCCTATCGCCCTAATTTACAGTTACGCACAGTAACTTCCAGTTGCGCGGTTCCATATGCTAATTATAATAATAATAAGACAAAGAAGAAGAATTAATAGTAATTATGGTGCTGGTACTCTTTAGACTGCGAGCAATGGACCTTTTCCACATACCGACGGCACCAGGCGGTGGCTGCACGAACTAAAAATCTAGGAAGTGACCTACCTGCGCTACCAATCGATAATGGGAGCTACGCTACCAGTTTCTTCGCTCTCTGAGCAGTGGCGCCTGCCCAACGCGACTTGAAAGAGTGGCATCCGTGGCGTCCACCCAAACGTCGTGTTTTCCTTTCCGTCGACGTTCTTTTTTTGTGTAACACAATTATATATATGCTGCAGTTACGTGTTCTACTCGCTGATATACAGCCTCCTTCCGAATTTCCTCGATTTTTCGTTCCGACTTCCGCCGCTTGGCATCGGGCGCTCGCGCGTGCGCAGAACGCTTCTCGGAAAAGGTCCATTGAACACCTTAGAGGCGATGATGACTTATTTTAGAATAGAATCAGTAATAATGGTATTTTATACGGCTTCTGATTTATAAAGTATAATACGAGTCTTGAGGCAAAATCGAAGCCTTATGCCCCAGTCATAGGGTTATTATAATGTACGCTAGAGGTTCAACATCGTCTCATCCTACGATGGACTAAAGGCCAAAGCCACGGGCCGCCAGGTCCAATCACGTTCCACGATAAACTATGACACGCTTAGCATTGATCAGGTTTGGACGAATAATGCTCCGAATTCAAAAACGCTGCTTCATTTTTATAGCTTCGACACTGGAAAGAGCCAGTAGTTCATGGCTTTCTTTGCGACGTAAATTTGTTGAGTCACTCACGGCTCAATCGGAACCGTCGTCCGCCCATTCCCATCAGTGATCCGAGACGCGGGCACCGATACGTACATCGAAGCGAAATACCACGCAATGTCTAAGTGGCTCGTTATTGGATCTGGCGGTTCGTAGCTTCTGCCTTTAGTCCATCGTAGGGTGAGACGAAGCATAGTGTCTGTGCGACCTCCGGGAGGTAAATTGAAGCAGACATCAGCCAATCTACTTTTACGGTGTCTCGTTCGTGTTACGGTGTCTCGAACGTGGAACACTTTTCTTATTTGGGTAGTACCGAATAATATGTGCTTTTATTAACATTGTAAAAGTGTCGTTGTTTAGATAGCGCAATTTCTTTATCAGTGAACGATAGTTAACTTCGCTAAATTTCAAGCCCAAAACTCTGTTCCACAACAGGTGTTTAAAAACAAGCGACGATTCTAACCAAAACAACAATCAAAAGGAATTTAAAGTGTGTTCAAGGTTCGCTAGCAATGCGGTGGCGCTTATATAATGCTAATATGCCAGTCTTGTCGCTCCATGAAAATGACACCGTCTTGCATCTTTACGAGTGGTTAAAAACATTCAAAACGTCAAAAATAAAGTAAGTGGTCAAAAATAAAGCAAAGGCGTCTGCTTTTATTAATTTTTTCTGTCGGGCACGTGGTCTTCAATTTATTTTGATTGTACATGCACGGGTGGTTACTGATCCAGTGTTACTGCGTAGTTCCTGCCCTCTTTCTCAGTTTTCCAGATGTCCTTCGTTCGTTTGGCACGTACCTCCCCCACGCTGAAAAGCGCCGACGTTGTGTTCGTTCTAAGTGTCCGACAGTGCACATAAATACACGTACGAAGCCGTTTTAGCATTGTTTTCAATGCAATGAATTTGAAAGAAAAACGTCGTAACTGACCAATTATTTCGTCTGCCTTGAGTGAGAAACGTTCCAAGCTGCTTAGCACGTACGAATTCTTCGGCATATTTTCTCTTGTAATCGAGCGCAAGGAAAAAAATGCACTCCCTTTTTCCCATAGAAATACATTACCGGGAGTCAGTTTTCGACTGTTTGCTGTCTGGTTCAATTTCCCGCAGCGCACTAGTGCCAGTGGAACCTCTAGCGTACATTACAATTACTCTATGGCCCCAACCACGCGGCTCATCATACAAGCGACAACCTGCAGACACTGTCCGGGGGGAAGGGGGGGGGGGGGGGGGGGCGTGTTTCTTCCTTCTATGTCTGTGACATTGGTCATGCGCTCATCCTTAGTGATAAAAACATTACGAGGTTTTTTTTTTTTATTACGATGAATTAGGTGAAGAAAATGAAGATACTTGAAACATATTTCACGTTTCTACACAAAACGTATATGCACAGTTGCACACTCCATCTGCTTCTCCACGTAATAACCGCGCGTAATCATGCAGTTATTTCGACATCGCATAAGCTTTGGATGCCCTCCCTAATAAAGGTCGCCGTCGTGGGGTCTCTGTCATTCTATCGAATGACGTCATTTACTAGAGACTGTAATGTGTGACACATTACGCGTCCGTGGCGAGTGACGATCTTGCTGACGCGTGATGGATGTCCAGCTCGCCTAAAAACTTTCACTTCCTGAAGAAAAAAAAAAAGATTATATCGCTTTGCGTGACAAGAAACAAATATTATTTTCAGGGTGTGAGATGCACTTTAACTTCTTAATCCACCAATGAGGCGAAGTCTCAGAGCTATACGTCGGCTGTCGTCGCGAGGCTCCCAATAGGTATCTCTCTTTCTAATAACCTGGACACACAAACCGAAGCCGCAATTATCTCCCATTTTTTTGCTTCAGTGCGTTTCAGAAGAAGTGACACCCGCTACACGACCCTGCTCGAAGGAACCGCATGCAAAAGGATGGCACCCCCAGGAGACCGATCCAAGCGCACAGAGCCGCCTGCGCGTTCTTGCGGTCTGCTCTGTTTTCGTCCTGCCTGGCTGCGGCATTTCGGCAAGTCGGTCTCCTACATGATATGCTTCTCGGCCCTGGGAATACTTCAGGGATGCTACTACTCCTACCTCATCGGCATCAACACGACGCTGGAACGGCGATTCGCCTATCGAAGTCGGACCGCTGGGTTTGTCTTCTTCGCCGACAACTTCGGGCCGATACTGCTGGGCGCCGTCATAGGCATCTACAGTCCTAAGCGACATCGTCCCAGGTACAACTTTCTTCTTGGCTCAATTTGTCCGTGTTAGCGTTATTCAAGACCGCGCAATAGACCCTTTCCGAAATTGTGAAATGATACATAGATTATGCGCATCGGCCATTGGTTGGTCTTATCACTTCCGGCGTGAAGTCCGTGATTGCTTCCGAGTTCGCGCCGAGCACTCACGTAGCACTGGTGTGGGATGCATTTCGATCCGAGTACACTCCGAACGCTAACGAAGCGCTCGTGTCCAATGCGTACTCACAGTGCATGACCAACTAATGGCGCCCGCACATAATCTATGCATCAATTCGAAATTTCGAAAAGGGTCTATAGTCACTGGCAGCTTAAGAAACGGAAGGCGTGGCTTATGTTAATTAACGCTTCTTGCTTCGTGATTGGTTCTTCACCGTTCATATCTACTAATGCCGCAATCTCATTGGCTGCTGAGGGATAATAAGATGCATGGGGCTCGCTACGCCCTACGCTTCTTAAGCTGTGCGAGACTACAGTAAGGGTGCTTTCTCACACCGGAGTAAGTCCGTCTGCCACGTGGACAGGATCGATGAGCGTAATGTCGGCTACAGACGTCAAAGATCAAAAGAAAACATAACTGGGATATATATATATATATATATATATATATTGTGGAACTAGTAAGAATGAAAAGGGCAGAACAAACGTTGATTCGTAAACTAATACGACAGCTAATGTGAAATGAACCTTGATGAGTGTGAAAACTGCTTGCGCACATTGCATACAGAAAACCAATAAACAAGACGTTCGCGGAAGTAGGCAGTTCTGCCGCTGAAGCTTTGAACATGGTTCGAATATCAACGTTTCACGAAATATAGGTAACGTTATTAATATTTTATTGTTTTTATATTACGAAATAAAACACTCGAGGAAACGCGTATGCCGGCTGAAGACTGTAATCATTGCATCGTCAATGCTATCGTGCGTCATGAAGATGGAACAAAATTAATATTCGGAGATGAACCTGTCCCGCAGCAATTTCAGACTTTAGCGAGTAACCAAACTAGAACAAAGAGCTATCAGGCAATAAAATAACATTCATTTTGTTAACCGCACCACGGCGATATTATTAACGTTATCTTTTCACCCTACTACAACGATGTGCAATTTTGCATCACGCCATTTGGTGACCTAAAAAAAAATCTGCAAGGTGCGTACGCATGTTAAAACATTTCATTCTTAGAAATTAAAGGAGCGCATACGCAATTTCTCCGTTAGTTCAAAGCTATATGTATGGAGAGAGAGAATAAACATCTTTATTATGAGAAAGCGATGGGGAGGAGTCCTTAGTCCAAGACGCCTTGAGCCTTCCCTGCTTCCACGGCCCTCGACACGAGCATGAGCTGGTCATCGAGGTTGGAGCTGGTCAGTGCTCTCTCCCAAAGCTTGTATGATGACTGGAAGGGGTTCGGACCACCACAGAAAGTGAAGTCTTTGATTTATCACGTGCCCATCGACGTTGCGAAGACAAAAAGCAAATTGGAAGTTGCCGACCCGAACGAGCATCTACCTGTACACCTTATAGCGTTATATAACCAAGACCTCTCCGCTGTGCCAACACTGCTCCATACTCCCTGATGTATCATATGCTACTGAGGAGCTTCCTAATGTCTAAGAGCAACCGTGCGAACATTATTAGACATTCGAACAAGACATTAAATAACCTGGACAGCACAAACGTGTACATGTAGGCCATTAAAAAATTACGGGAGGACACTTAAGGCTGCTTTAGTGTAGGAATGCGAAGGCTGCTTTCGTGTAGGAATGCCGTACGCAGCCTATTTCTACAGGCAGCGCTTCACGTCTTCCTTTTCGCACGACGCTCTGGCGGTGACATCACGCTCCCTCACTGTGCAGGTGCGGCGGACCTCGCCGGCTCCACGGCGTCCGTGTCGATGCATCTGCGTTGATGTGCTTTTCTTTGTGTTTTATTTCTGAGGCGCGTCTGCTTTGACCTTGAGAGGCCTCGCCGGCTTCCGTGACGCAGCATCTGATATGACGCGCCGCAGCCAATGGGACTCTAGGTGCCGTTTCGCTGAGCCAATGAGAAAATGGGAATTTAGATGCCGTTTTTCGCTGCTACAGACACCACCGGCGTCGCTCCATGGGACAGATAATGCTTTCGCATGAATAAAACGTTAGAGCATCCTGATGACATCCACAGAACCTTGCGTTCCACCAGGGAACTATGGCATCCTTGCTAGGCCCGTGGAAACAGCCATCAGAATTCCTAAAGGCTACTAAGGTACTGTCACAGCGTAAATGAGCAACTGATCTAGAAATGCAGCTTTATTATGAATGGATAAATGTTTAGTACAGAAAGTTACACTTAGCCTTCTTCACTTGAATCATCTGGGTCGTGTGATGCTGAAATGCAGTGGCGTAGCCAGGGGGAGGCCCTCCCCTCCCCCCTCCCCCCCCCCAAAAAAAAAAAAAATATATATATATATATATATTCCTGGCTATGCCACTGGTGAAATGGGGTAAGGCCGGGAAGGTGGCTTAGATTAAGGGGACGAGATCTGCCGACTTAATGAAGGATTTATCTTACCTCCCCTGTTTTTCTATTTTTCTTTTACCTTTGATTTCCAGACCAGCAATGTGAGCAGGTTTACTTTTCATTTTCCCCCTTCCGATTTTATCAATCTAGACTTTGTTGAATAAATCACCACTTCCACTCGTTTAATGACATCGTATGTCCCCCAGAGTTGTTTAGGCACGACTGGCATCACCTCTTGTCTTGCATTTCTTATTGAACAACGACAGGTGGGTCGGTGGAGCGGCCATCTTGATGGGCATCTCTTGCTTCTTGGCCTCACTGCCGTACTTCATCTTTGGCAAGGCCGATGAAGCTTTCAGCATGACGGATCCTGAGGTCGAGTCTGACCTGAACCATTTCTGTCACGACCAAGAGGAAGACCGCCGCTTCCGGGAGCTCAACTGTGCCCAGTCCAGAAAGAGAGAGACTCTCCCTGCCATTCTGCTCCTGGTCAGCTGCAATTTCTTGACAGGCATCGGAACTGCCGTCTACTATTCGGCGGGTACGGCGTACCTGGACGAGATCATCAAGAAGAAACACTCAGCCGTATACATGGGTAGGTTTTTTTTGTGTGTGTGTTTTTTTTTTTATTCCAGACATCCAGTAATTCATACAAATATCTAATGGTGTCGAAAAATGGTAGAAAGAACTTAGAAATAGTCTCCTAGAAGCCTCAGAGTGGCAGGGCCGACGATTCGCATCGAGACTTATAGCTCCGCTAAAGCCCCGAGGAAGCCAAATATTTTAGTTGTCACTCCCAAGCTTCCATGAGGTTCCTTTTCAAGCTTCTGCTGCCAGCTTCGGCTACGTTCGTGGTTTGTTTAAACATTAATTAGACTTTTTCACGAGAACATCTTGTTTATTTGTTCTGCGTGCATGTGTTCTCTTTTTTATAGCACTCATGACGGTTGTGCGTGGATTTGGACCCTGCATTGGCTTCATCTTCTCGGCTTTGCTACTAGCCATTTACGAAGATCCATCGTGTAAGCATTTTCTTCTTTATTTTTGTTTTCATATTTCAAAAGATTTTACTTGCTGTTTCAAAATTGCATGAGTTCCGAAAGAAAAGAAGCACCTGAAAAAAAAAAATGGGAACGGTCATGAGATTCGAATATCCCGCTTGCGTTCCAGATAACCCTGGATTCGCCGACGAAGACCCGCGGTGGATTGGGGCGTGGTGGCTCGGATTTGCCGTTCTGGGTTTTCTGCAACTTCTCTTCGCCATCCCTTTGTTTTTTTTTCCAAAACATCTCGTGGACGACTCCGAAGATGAAATAGGACTGGAGAAAAACTTGACCATGAGAGGTGAGCTTGCGGACAGAGCTGCTCCCGGCTCCTGCTGTAGTCACTGATAGGACAAGGAGTGCAGAGCGGCTCAGTACGAGACCCAGGCTTTAAGCACGCGCACGTTGCCTTCCGTCGTGCTTTGAGTGTACGTGCATACACTCGAAGCTTAAGAGGCGCCGAAGTGTTAACGAAGGTAAGAATCTCGCTGTGAAGGAGGGACAACTGAAGCACCTCCTTGCCGTTCTTATCTTGTCAGGGAAGTGAAACATGAAAAAGAAATCACCGAGGAAACTTACACCCACGTCGTTCTTGTTTTGTCTCACAAGCTATTCTTAAACTTAAACATGTTTTTTTTTTCGTCTGGTTTATTAGATTAAGATATTAACCTACAGGTGCGGTTGGAGAATACCGCAGCCTTCGGAATTCAACGTTAAAATATGAAAAAAAAAAATGCGGCTCTGTTTTTTTTTTTTTCTTTTTTTTTTACCTGGTGCATTTGGTGCCGTGCTATTTCTCGTATAATATATAGAACCAAGCAGTTTAATAACACTTGTGAAAGACACCATGAGCTCTGTCTGAATGCAGAACCACGAGACTAACATCATCAGAAATGCACTTCGCACCCTAATGCCCAAATGCTCTAGCGTGTATACTTTCTTTTCCAGAGGCCTTCCAGACGACAAAGAGAATCATGGGTAATCCCATCCTGGTGCTGCAGATGGGTGCTCAGGTATTTAAGTGGTTCGGCGTCCTGGGATTCTGTACGTACGTGCCTAAATACGTCCAAGAACAGTTCCAACAGTCTCCCAGCGCGGCCTCTGTGTTGAGCGGTAAGTACTCAGGTGGCGAGTTGGGCGAGCTAGTATGCATTGAACATGGTGATAACCAGCACACAGGAGACAGAGACACAGTAGACACAGCAGAATAAGCAGAAAGCGCTTGTCCCGTCTGTTTTTCTTCTATTGTGTCTTTGTCTTTTCTGTGCTGTTTAATCACGATGTTCGGTAAGTACTGTGCACGTCACTCTTAGCATACTTGTAATCTTTTGCGCCTTCAGGCGTTCGTGCATATACACCCGCCGGCAATACGAAGGTGAACACCTTACCTGGTTTCTTGCCTGTTTTACGGCTCCCTAAAGCTATATTAACTCTCAATGTCTCAAATGGTACGTGGCTTGGGGTCTAAACTTTGCGTTCTAGCCCTTTTCTGGAACAGAGCTTGTTCCAAAACTTGCGAGAGTGTTAAGAGTAAGAAGAGGGCTGTTCACCTTCATATCGGTCACGGGTATACGCTTCTCTCTAATGTGCTCTGAACACCCCTAGGTGAGGGGCGAGCGGTAACATACTCCGATTGTCAGACAGCCTTTATGGCAAAATGGGGTTTGGAGCCCTTCTGACAATGGCACTGAATGACACCTTAATGAAAAAAAATGTGTTCCAATCAGACATCCGCATTGTGCGCCCATATCTTATATTCTGACTTGTTCATAATTTTGAACTGGCGGCTGCTTCGACATCCGCTTTTTTTATGAAAAAATAAGAGCGGCTTATTATCACATATCGCCTTCATTTAAACAAACTGCGTGATTATCTGACTCAAATGAGCGCCAAGGCGCTTCTTTTTATTTTTCAAAAACAATTTTTGGTGAAGTTACAAAATAAAAAAAAGAAGTGAAATCTGGATAGAAAATTTTATTTTAGGTTATGATCGCTCATTCTACGCGTAAAATGTAAGTCATCTTTTTTAACGTTGCAAGACTAAGGTAGTAGTGAGAGTATAGAGCTGCACATGGGGGTAAAAGGCAGTTTTTAGCCAATCACTTCCCCTCTCTCGGCCAGACACAAACACACGCGTAAAATCGCTGCGTCATTATTGTGATGACCCTTCTACGATGATGAAAAAAAGCTTCTTCGTAGGTATGCAAACACGTAAAAGACGGCTTTGCACGCTGAAAACATGACGCAGGTTTTTTGTAGATAGCACTGAAAAGGCGCGCAGTCAGGTCTCCTCGCACGCCACTACGTTGATTTCTGAAATATCATCGAGAAAATGCCTGTTTCTAAGCATACGCGAAAGATGGTGTCACTGTCGTTTTGCATGTAACGTTGCATGTAACGGGAAACTGAAGCGGTTCTGCATTTGAGTAAAAACGCTTAAATCGTCTTCATTGGGCCTCCAGGATCACGAATATCGAGATTATTCTTCAGTTTTGTGCACAGAGGCTGCAGAAAATCCTTTTCAAAGTACCACTGAAGTCGCTCCCTTCCCGTAGCGTTACGTCATAAAAGGGAGTTTTGGAATTTTCGCTGTCGCGCATCTTCAGCGCCTATCAAAGATATGCACGCTCACTCTTGCTATTTTCAAAAAGGTCTGAAAAAGACGTCACGGCTGGTGTCAGTGCGGGGGAATATTCGCGGTGATAAGCTCGCTTTAGGTGCGGTTGTGTTTTACTCACTACGGGTAGTGCACATGCTAACTATGCGGTTACGTTTCAATTTCCATAGGGCATAGAAGCAACGTTACTAGAACAACTCAGTTGGGGAACTGCCATAGAGCCTGCTTTGAGAAAGTGGCTCTTGTCCGTGCTCGAGAACCGAACTAAAGGCGATCGGCACCGGTCACTTCGGGAACTGCACGGCTGCAAGTATTGATTCAGGTCAACGTTACTACAACCACTCAGTTGGGAAGCTGCCATAGGGACTGCTCTGAAAAAGTGGCCCCGATCTGTCCTCCAGAACCGAGCTAATGGCGAGCACAACGCCGCCATTTCTCCCGCAGCGCCCACTTGAGGAACTGCACGTTACTTCTATTTTGGCTTTAATCGGCCATTTTGGTGGCGAAACAGATACAGCGGAAGATGTTACAGGGGTGCCACCCCGTCTCCCCAGCGGACGCGCCGCGAATTACTACCGAAGTTAAAATGCAACTAGGTCGGGACGCGCTACCTGAAAGCACCGCTGAGGCATGGTTGTATAAAACCAATATTAATTGTACCGCAAAACCCTGCAAACTAAACATTTTAAAAACATTACACGCCCATCATTTTCTACTAAACTCCAATGAATTTCATACAAAAAGAGTCTTTTCCCTTTGTTTTTACGCAAAAATATGCTATGTAAAAGCTCAAGGTGACCACAGTACAGACAAATGATAAAGAGTGGCGCTGATGTCGTATTTAGCTCGCTATCGGTGGACGCCAGCGGCCCAGGTTTCGACGGCGAGTTTCCCAACTGAGTGTTTTAGTAACGTTGATTCAGGTCGAGCCGCGCAAAGGCCGGTGGCGCCACCTCTCAGTGCCATTTCGCAGTAGCTATTAAATCAACTTTCATGTTTTGACTCGTCGCTAAAGGACGGCGCTGTTATCGCATCCAGTTTGGTCTCGGTGGACGCGAGCGGTCCCGGTTTCAAGGGTGAGTTCCCCAACTGAGTGTATTAGTAGCGTTGACAAAAGCTTGGCATTGCACGTGCTTTCACTAGCAGAAGCAGTTGAAGTATCCTCACTCTGGGTTGTGAAACCATTCCACCAGGCGGCGATACGCAAACTTCTCGCCGCGAATACCTGGCAAGCTTGCAAGTGCACGCGCTGCCCACACGAGCGACACGCGCTTGGCGGCCAAAAAGATCCTTTTTATGACGGAACGACTGGTCGGAGGTTTTTTCGTGTTTTCTCGCGTTTAGTTACATCTTCGAGGAAAACGAACGTGATATTCAGATTGACAGGATAAAAATACTCTGAATTCACTTCTAACTCGTTTTTTTTTTTCTTTTCCTTTCAAGAACCTCGAACTTTTTTTAAGCGTCTTAACGAACTGCTTTATATATATACTTTAAACCTGCGACAGAAGCTCCTCCTCCACCCTTATTACCACCGCTAGTCACTGTTCCTCCACGATGCGCAAATAGCCCGCTAGCAAGGCCATTGCGTATTGATCAAAAGTCCTGTCGTTTTGAAAACCGGGCACTGACTTCACATGACTGTCATGGCTACTGCTCCTGGTTGGTCCGCCTAGCGACTTGATGCCGTGGCTGGTGCATGGTGTTGATGTGGCGCTTTCTTAACCCGTGTCAGACTACACGCCTACTCAAATCTTTGGCGTCACGCCGCTGCGGTTGCGTTGCTGTCGGTTCAGCGTCTACGCAGAGGCTCCCTCTCACACGAATATGGTTTCTGCGCGCGCACAATGCCCTCACCTGGTATGGGCGCACACGGGCTTGTTCGAAAACAGCGTGTTTGTCTATAAATTCAATATTCCACAAACTCTATAGGAAACAAAACATATTTTCTTATCTGTAAGGTGGCTCAAGTGGATTCGACGCCTTAAGACGAGCCAACAAAATCGGCACCTGCATGCACATAGAAAGCTCGGACTATCATCGAATGTGCACTGAGCAGGTCAGTTTTACCGTGTTAAAACTCAATGCGTAATTCTTTTTCTGTAAAAAAATGAGAGCAACAAACTTGCAAAAGTCAACGTCGGGCGCGTTCGCAGACGATCGGGTTGGCGACGCTATTAACTTGTGGCGCCATCTCCCGATACGTACTGCGGGCAGAAAAGAGTACGTCGTCTGCTCGCTGCGCCGAACGCGCCCGACATTGACTTTTCTTTTTTACAGAAAAAGAACTACGCCTTGAAAATTCACACGGTAAAACTGACCTGCTCACTTCTACAGTATCGGATCCGCTTGAGCCATCCTATGTGTGCCTTATTGGAGTCTCCAATGCTGTCTCCCCTCAGGTACGTTCCCCATCGCATGCGCCATGGTGGCATCTCTGGGTGGAGGCTTCCTCATCAAGACGTTTCGGCCGTCGGCCCGCATCCTGACGGCCGTCATTTTCGCCACGGAGTTGATCACCGCGCTGCTGTTCGTGTCACTCATGGCGTTCAGCTGCCCGCAACCACCTCTCACGGAGCGTGGGACACTGCAGTCAGGGTAGGCCTTGATCGTCCTGAGCAAGTTTGGCCTTCGACGTTCTTTGTAATAGTAGTAGAAGCACACCTCCACCTGATCATGTCCCACTTCTGTTCGAAAAGGCCAACGTTACTAGAACCCTCAGTGTTGGGAAACTCACCGTTGAAACTCGGACCGCCATGGCGTCCACCGAGACCGAGCTAAATACGACAACAGCGCCGCTCTTTATCATTTGTCTTCACTGTGATCACCTTGAGCTTTCAGAAAGCGTGTTTTTGCGTAAAAGTAACGGAAAAAAGTTTTTTTGTAGTAACTTCTTTTGGAGTTTACTACAAAATGAGGGGCCGTGATGTTTTCTGAAATCTTCAGTTTGCAAGGTAATGCAGCACAACTGAGCTTTTTTTTTTATTTATTTTTTTTTTTTTTTGCAACCATGCTTCACTGGTGATTTCAGGTAGCGCGTCCCGACCTATAGAGCATATTAACTTCGGTAATATTACCCGGCGCGTCCGTTTGGGAGACGGGGGTGGCGCCCCTGAAACCCCTTCCATCGTTTCTGTTTTGGCGCCTAAATGGCCGATTGGAGCCAAAGTAGAAGTCACGCGCAGTTCCTTGAGTGGCCGCTGCGGGAGAAATGGCGGCGTTATGATCGCCATTAGCTCGTTTCTCGTGTACGGATCGGTGCCACCTTTTCAAAGCAGTCTCTATGGCAGTTTCCCTACTGAGGCGTTTAGTAACGTTGGTAAAGGCCAATACTTAAATGCTTACCGTTTCTAACCTATACTGGAGGTTACAATATTAGGCTTATACCAGTTACAGCGAGAAACTAACTAAAATTGTATGCTTTAAGTAACTTTAAAGAGAATGTAAGGAAGATAAAACATTTCACAAAAAAAAAAAAAAATTATAACGTTGCATCGATTGGGAAACTGCTTCATACAATGTCGGCTTACATAAAGTACAGGGTGTCACAAAAACAATTTACAGCGTTGTTTTCACCGCAAAAATAAACTACGCATCGCCGAACGCTCATTTTCCGCCCAAAGGTAGCGCTAGAGGTCACAACCAGATGCCAAAGTTTCAGCCCTATCTGACAACTTATTCAAAAGTTATAAGTGATTTTCTGAAAAGTGCAATGGTTAAATGGAGCCCATTTTTGCTCGTTTTCGGATTTTGGTGTCATAGAGCCCCATGTATTTGAAAACTCCGTCGGCCGCCATTTTCCCATTGAAATTTTCAGAAAATCACTTATAACTTTTGATTAAGTTATCGAATCGGGCTGAAACTTTGGCATCTGGTTGTGACCTCTAGCGCTACCTTTTGGACGGAGAATGAGCGTTCGGCGATGCCTCGTTTATTTTTGCTGTAAAAAAATACCGTGTAAATTTTTTTTTGTTTGTGACACCCTGTATATAAAGATCTAGTTCAAACCGTTTTACTTTTTTTTTTTTTTTTTTTTTTAGCGGTTTAAAACAATTTCAATCGCTTTGGAGGCAGCTTCGGGAAGCCTTGTCGTGTCAGCAAACATCATCTCCAACTTTGCTTTACATGAACGCCTCGGCACATGCTCTAAAAGCAGAATTTCAACTGAACAACAAAAAACATCGCAATGTTCCCGGGAATATTTTAGACGGCAGTCATAGAATATCAATAAGCAGTAATTAAACTTTTGGACGCGTATAGTTGTATTTCACGACTCTATAAAAAAAATTCGCATTAATCTTACGATTTACAAAATTATAAACTACTGCCTTTCTGGACAAAAGATCGTTCCCTACGACTGTAATTGCCTAGGCATCATAGAACGCGAATCAATTAGAATGTTGATATTTCCTTGAAAACGTTTTAATCCACGGAATGTCCCAGAAAGTTGGCCATGTTCGCTGAGGAGCAACTTCTTCGGGGCTAAGTCTCTTAGCGCTGTTTAGTTAAGTGACCAGCAAGAAGAGCAAACTTCCAGCTGCCAGTTTAACGCATCCAGAAGGTTATTTCCCAAACATTGCAAGCGTCCGGTTCAAAAATTAACTCGTAATAGTAAAGGCACTATAGCTGAAACGATCTAGCCTGATCCCGCGGTATCACATTATCTGTTGCCAGTATACCGGGACAAAATGTCAACAAATATCACATCTATAACAGAACTAGAACGGCGGGGGGTCCTTAGTGATCCCGCCTCCAGAGCGAGCTTCCCATTACCTTCGATAACACTTCGGCGACTCGTGGGCTTCGAGCGTGCACGCACAGCCAAAGCACTACTGAGGGCAACGAGCACGTGCTGGAGGCATCCCAAGGAGACGCCCCGCCGCTAATTCATCCTGTCAGCGACTATGGCTGAGACTTATAGTCGGTTCTGTTCCGCGGAAAGTGCAGGCGAGACTTGATCAACACATGCAACCAGAACTGCTCGTGCGCCACAGAGGTGTTTCACCCCATCTGCGAAGGGAAGACGACCTACTTTTCTCCCTGCTTCGCCGGATGCTTCACCAAAGGAATGAACGGCACCGCGCAGCGAGGCGTAAGCATACCTTCCAGCTTTACTTCTTTAAGCATAATCCCTTTGTAATTACCAATGTCTCGTCCGTTCAGGAATTTGCCTCATCATTACAGTGTTATTTATTAGATGTGCAATCCTAGATGTTTTTTTCTTTCACTAGCGTGTAATGGGGTTTACTTCTTGTGTGTTGCCCTGCGTGCCGCCTCCTGCCTTGGCTGCCAAATGGCAGCCGGCAGTATGTATAAATAAATAAATAATAAATAAAAGTAGGATGGGGAGAAGATTCAGGGAGCTAAGGCATTATTTCAGAAATATTTAGACGTGCACGCGTGTGTGTGTGCGTGCGTATGTGCGTTTTCTTGCAAGAAAGAGTTATTTCATCTACCAAAACTCAAAGAAATAGGATAAAATTTTACCTTTCTCTTTGTCACTCACCCACAACGATCCTTCGGCTGTGACGACTTCGTTTAGTGATCGTTCTAAGTACGACGCTCTTCGGCACCAGACAGCGAAACACCTAACAAAATTCTAGAACGTGGAACTCCTTTTCTATGTCGCTAAAACAGTTTCTATACAGACTCCGTTCTTAAGGTTTCGTTGTTTCATTAGTTTCTAATGCTGTAGAGACTGTTTCGGGCGCATCGAGCATCTCTGGCAGGATCATATGCTATCGCCAAATATCCGAGCAAAAGTCCGGAATCGCGCTCACGCAGCAGTATGCCAGAGCAAAAGAGTGCAAAAGCTGCTTACCGAAATAGCGGTAATTTCCTTTTTCGGGCTGGCGGGGATTTCCGCAGTCTTACGACAACTGCAACTGCGTCGACGCGTTCGACGACGACGGCCTGGCGCGTCGAGCGACGGACGGATTCTGCAAGAGCGACTGCCCGTTCCTGGCTTTCTACATCATGTTGCTGTGCATCGCGTACGGGTTCTCCTTTTCGACCAAGACGGCCCAAATTCTCATACCACTCAGGTAAACCTCATCTACACTAACGTATATTACAGCGTGTATAAAAGAAAAACATTTATCGTTTTATTTTTTTATTAGATAAAAAGTACGCATTCCCGAACGCGCACTCTCCTCTCAAATGTAGCAATATATATATATATATATATATATATATATATATATATATATATATATATATATATATGTATACTTCGTTTCAGCTTAAGTCAAGACGCAGCCGGCGCAAGACGAAGCCGCGTCAAAAGGGCACCGTCGTGGTGTTCCTCATGATTCTGTTCGTGTTCTGTCATCGTTGAACCAATCAGAAACAGAAAAGACATAGGCGCTTTTGACCCTGCTTGATTGGTCCCCTTAGCTCGTAGCGTCGACTGTGTCTGAACTGAAGCTGAAACCAAGTATAGCGGTTCGGACCATTTATCAAAGTTTTCATACGAACGAACTGTTATCTTGTTCAAAGGTTATATACTGTTATTTTCTTATACTTTCAATGGAAAAATGGGGCCCGCTCCCGGTAGATTGCAGCATTTAGTCCCATGAATTAGTGCGCATTGTCGGCACCCGTTTCACATTCAGAATGTCCGAAAATTGCTTATAACTTTTAAATGAGATAACGGTTCGTTCTGGAACTCTGGCATCCGGTCCGGACAGCAAGAGCTACGCCGTGTGACGTCACCCTCGTCACGTCACACGGCGCCTAAATTTAGCGGAAAAATTACCTTGCTAAATTCAGAGGAAAAATTCCCGGCTAAATTTAGCGGGAAAATTTCCCCGCTAAATCCAGTGAAAAATTCCCCTCTAAATTTACCGGAAAATTTTCACCACTAAATCTAGCGGGCAAAATTTCCCCGCTACATTTAGCGCAAAAAATTCCCCGCTAAATTTAGCAAATAATATTCCCCGACAAATTTAGCGGGAAAATTTCCCCGCTAAATTTAGCAAGAATATTTCCCCGCTAAGTCTAGCGGAAAAAATTCTTTCCCGCTAGATTTAGCGGGAAATTTTGCGAAAATTTCCCACTAAATGGAACGGGAGCAGGAGAGGAGGAGGAAAGGGGGTTGAGGGGCACCCCCTCCTCTCCGTACCCTCCCCTCCTCCTCCTCAAGAGCTGCGCTCTAATTCGGCATTGCAGAGAATTGAAAACGTTTTTCACTTTTTTGCCTTGATTTCTTTTTTTTTCTTAAGCACGGAAGGATAGTTTGCTTCTAGAAATCGTGGCGTTCGGATCAATGATGACCTCGGCGTAAATTCGGCTAGCTAGCTACGGCGGGATATAGGCGAACATTGCTGCTGGGAAGTACAGTCATCTTTGCTTCATTGTTCCTCGCCGCGATAGTAAGTCTGAGAGAAAAACATGATTTAAAAGTAAAGTTTTTCAACATTTCTTGATTATGCACCGAAAGTTAGCCAACATCGTATTTTTGCCCGATTTGCTCGCGATATTAGGTGGGCTATCTCTCAGGATATTACGGTACTTTATTTTTGCGATCAAAAAGAGGTTGTAACTTCAATTAGGGGAAAAACTGTGGCTGTGCGCATATTGATGTCATTTTCGACCGCAAGCTCGAAACCGCCCTTTCGCTTATATTACCCAGGTGCGTCAAGAAAGAAGACAAGGCGTTCACTCTAGGGTTTGCCGAAGGGGTGCTGGCACTTTTCTGTGAGTATAGCACCGCGCATGCACAGTTCTACAGCAAGATAGCATCACCGACTTCGCTGACATCAGAAGCATGGTCGGATATAGTATAACCAGCCCGTAATATGAGGAGTATTTTCGATTTCCGGTACCTAGCGAAAAGCGCTCACAAACCTAATCCCTTTCTTGTTCTCTCTCTCTCTCTCTCTATATATATATATATATATATATATATATATATATATACTTATTTATTTCTAGGGGGTAGAGAAACTAGTCAGCAAGCAGGAATTTTGATCGACAGTTGGGACATTTAGTTTAGGTTTATTCCGGGATTCGTTTATGTAGTCACTTTAGTCGATTTAATATTTTAGGCACCGGTCATGATAACACCTCGCGCACTTAAAAAGGCTCACGCAACCTATCGAAGTAGGCTACACACTTCTGGCGACCTATATTGCTACTAGATACATTGCAGTACAACTGCCCGCAGACATGTTACTTGTTACACTGCTTACTCTCACCATTTCCTGTTTGATTCTTTGTGCGGTTTTTTCACCCGTAATCTGTGTATATGAGTCGTCAGAATTTATTTCGATAAGCGCCGATCGGAATCTAGGACGTCGAATCTGGTCATAGCTAAATGTTCGAAACCAAATAAGGGAGCATGTGCACACTGCGCGACTGTTAGCACGAACAGTGATGGAAGCGGCGTTTGACCTTTTGTGGAAGGTTCTGTAGCAGGCAAAATATCGTTTGGAAGCAGTCACTGACGTTTTTGGAGCAGATGCCAACATCTGATGGCACATCACTTGAGAATGAAAAAGTGTTCGCGTCTCGACGAGTTCATTTATGATAGTGATCCAGGGTTCCCCTTTGATACTCGAGCATATTACGTATTACCGTTTGTGATAATAATAAATAGGGTATAAAAGGAGCGGAGTTTTCTTAAAAAAGGCTCTAGTCAGACTAGGTTTCATTTACAATGGGTATTAAAAATGACTGAAAAGTAAATCATGGTGCAACACTTCATTGGGATATATCCTCTCCATTTTACACTCGGTAGTTTGTTTAGCCTGTAAAAATAATTTCTGTAAAACGCCAGCAAGAACAAGCATATCTGCTAACACGTCTACCAATAAAAATGCGTCCCGTAAGTTTAATTAAACTACCAAACTCGACTCTAATATTATAAATTGCAAAAGCACCCACCCAAAAATATTATAAAAGCCTACACTCGAGCTTTCAAAGTGACACCGCTCTTTAGCGGCGTGGGAACCAGAGTTCCGACAAAGTTCGCTACTCTTTCGTTTGACAGCTACACGGGAACTACGGTGACTACAGTATTTATTCACACACACCTATATATATATATATATATATAGCCCCTTTTTTTCTAAACTCTCTTTCTCTGCTGTTTTCTTTTTATTATTATAGGTTAATCTACAATCAGGACAAAGAAGTTCGACATGTAATAATACTGAGCATAATTTGTGTATCTATCGCACTAAGCCATCAGCGCTCCCCTGGGTCAGTCGCTGCTCCTAGCGCTCCGGTGCAAAGCGGTGAAGGTCGACGTGCGCACGCTGGTGAGAGGCGAAGGTTGACCCAAGCGGCGCAAGTGCCACGGTACTCAGCAGCCACGGAACGAGGACGTGATAATCAAGTGATCTTATCAGGAGTACAAGACCCTGATCCTGTTTTATCGCAGTAGTCGCAATCGGCAATCCTACGATTTTGCAAAGTTTTCTCAGGGCCCTTAGTTCCTGACATCGACGACATCGTCTGGAAATTTAGACGTCAGCGATCAGCCAGCCAGCGCGTCAATCGGCCAGAGCGGCTGATTCGCAGCATCAAAGCGTGACATCATGGCATTCGTCATCCCCTTGTACGAGCTCTTTCGTCGGCTAAACCAATCAAGTGTAGCGAGTGTCCCGTGACTCGCGCTTTTAGTATGTGTGTTTGTGGTTGTATGTGTTCCGAGCCTTCGACTGTGCTCTGACCTAAGACGAAACGAGCTATACGGCGAGTAGAGACGCTGTGAAATTCGTATTTGTACCATTTTTATTTCCTTCTACTTCTCTAAATATTTCGATAGACCAATAACATTTTTTTAAGCTCATCTCGGCGCAGGTGTGGGGCAATTCTTAGCAAATATGAAATTTTGGCGCAAGATGCAGCAGACTTTCATTCATGGCGCAATTTGTCGCAAATGGCGAAGCACTTCCATTACTGCACGAACAAGCGATCGCCGGTTTGAAATGTCTCGTAGAATAAAAAGACTGTAATCAATAACTACTAATGACATGAAAGGCCTCATTTGGGGCACCAACAACCTAAGCTATAAAGTTTGGTGCCTTCTAATACCCTTTCAGACAAAAAACGAGGAAATGCGCCGTTGAGTTCTGAACTGTGTACGTAGGCGCCACACGCCTTGCGACAGACGGTTTTTCCGTCCCAAGAAGCTATCAAAATTGCAAGTGTGGTCTTAATACACTCCACTTATCGACTTGGGCGGTATGTTTGCTGTTAAACCCCCAGCTTGAACAGACTACGCGAGAGCGTCAATGTAATTGTGTCCAGCAGATTAGTTATGTTACAAAAAAAAAAAAAAAAAAAAAAAGCCACGTTAACTTTTGCGTAACTGGAAGTATATGCACCCAGACCTGTAAACTTACTTTTTTTTGTACGCCTTTCTTTTTCTTCTCATTCTCCACGATTTTAGCTTTCCTGCCTTACCCCCTGGTATACGGATCTTTGGTGGACTCCACGTGCGTCGTGTGGGAGGAGAGCTGCGGCCAGCAGGGCAACTGCTGGGTGTACGACATGCGGACATTCAACTACTCCCTGCACGGGACGACCTTCATCCTGCTGATGGTCGGGGTAGTACTCAACTTCGTCGTGTTTCTGCTCAGCGGCAGGCTCAGAAACCTGTATGGACGGGACACGAGGCTGGCCAACAGGGACCGGGCGCTGGAAGGCGGCTCCGACGTCCACTCGTCCACCAGGTCGTCCAGGGGCTCCATCCGGAAGCTGACGCGAAACGAGATCTTTCACATGGTCCCTACCAACGACCCGGAGGAGTGAAATCGACGACTGGTTTCGGTGTTTGAAACGAATCATTAGGGAGTTTTCGTAGATCATTTCTGCCGCCCCGCAACGGTCTCCGCAACGCGCTCGAAGATCCGGAACTCCGCAGGCAAGGCGCGGCGCGTATGCGCAGTAGCAGCATTTTCATTGCGGACTGCGTAGCGGAGAGGAAAGAGCGGTGTACAAAAACTCCCTCTCAAGGAGTTCTCGTGGATTCTTTCTACTTCCGCCGTACCGCAACGGTCTGCGAAATCCGCTAAACGATCCGGAACTCTGCAGGTAAGGCTAACGTGGCGTCTTCGTTGCGGAGTGCGTAGCGGTGGGGAGAAAAGGTTCAACGAAAACTCACTTGAAACGTCCGTTTTATGGTAGCCTTAATACTCGTGCGACATCGTTCCCATCGGTGTGGACATTGAAACGAGGAAGTCTCTTTAATAAACTACGGACGTCAAGAGCTCAAGAGTGCTTCCCCTGCGGCCAGGCATGGGTCTCACCAAAAGCAGCATCAACACGCTCTTCCCGGGATCTCGCACCAAGGGCTCAAGGAGGGCACGCGTGAAAAGGCACGCTGTATTATAAGACCGGTCTAATAAAGAGCGTTTGGCCGGTGCCATTTTCAGCGCGTTTGTGCATAGAGTGCGTGATTCGCTCGCTTTCCACAGCATCGAACAGACGCGTGTGGGGCTGTGGATTTGTAAACATTGGAATGGTGTACAGATGATTCTGCTGTTTCCAAATATATTCAGCTTTTGAACATCGCGTCGCGTCATGTGACGTAGGGTTCTACGACGTTACAGCGTCACGTGACATCACTGACGCCAGGTCACTGAAACGTAATTTGAGGCTACCTCACATGACTCGATGTCATGTAAAAGGGTGCCGCGATTGGTCGAAAACCGGGGGTGTGAACATCTACTGGAAAAAAGATAGAGCTACCTATTTTACAGCTGTGCTTTGTATGTGCACGCTTGCCACTGCCATTGGAGGGAAAATTGGTTTTGGCTGAAAAAAAGAAACTCGGGGGAGGACGAGTACACTTGGCGAGGGAAGGGGCACCCGATGAACTTCTGACGTGCAGCAGGCAAAGGATCCCAGGTGCCATCGCATTATATCTCCTTTGGCCACAGCGCCAAAAAAAAAAAGTAACTTTTTTTTTTTTTTTTAAGAAAGGTACACGATTGCAAGCAGAGCGTCTGCGGCCGCCATGTCTCTGCTTATGATAGTAATTTAAAAGGTTAAAAAGTGCAACAAAACAAGGACAATATAGACACAAAAACGACAGGACGGGCGCTAACTCGCCCGTCCTGTCGTTTTTGTGTCTTTACCAATTTGCCCAAACACAAGTTTTAATTCAACATATTTCTTCTACTCTGGGCTCTTTCCTTTTTCACCATGGAATCAACTTGCCCAAACAAAAGTTTTAATTATGATAGTAAGCAAGTCCAAAGGCAAGCCTGCAAGTTATCTTCATCAGCGTGCTGAATGTCCTTGGTATGCAGCATGCGGCACCAGACAAAACTCAAAGTTTGCAAATGTTTCCTCGGGGACAAGCGAAGAGTGTGCAAGCATAATTTCCAACCCTAACCAATGTGCATGAGCACACAAGCATTCATAGGTTTCACTTCATGCGCGAGAAGGAAATTTTAGCGAGCTAGCAGCCTCACGTGTTCACCAAAACCCGAGTGAAACATCAGTTCAATAATACAGAGGTATCAACTTATTATCTACAGATAAGCACTGCGAAGCAAGCCAACATGCAAACATACTGAAATGATACTTCAAAAAGGAGTGCGCTAGTAAAACAACCAAGTTGAGGAATAAAGAGGTTGAACTGCAGTCGCATAAGGGAACTGCACAAGCAAACTAATAAACAATCGTAGCAAAAAAAAAAAAAAGAACTTTGAGAGAAGAGAAAAAATAAGACATTTGACCCTAGCATCAAGGTTTTTTTTTTTTTTTTTTTCTTCTTTTTCACTACGAAATGTTTTTTTTTTCTTGTTTGTTACTCATGCACATCAAAACGGCAGAGTTGAATGGGAAGTATGTGGGATTGTGACCAGATTTTTATGGTACAATTTGAAATTTAGGGCTTTCAGACATGTCAAACATGATGGACAATGTGCTGTGCATGAACTTGGCCCTTTATTGCAATTCATCGAAGTCCTCAATATTTCTTCCTGTATGCTTGATTCATATTTCACTTGATCCATATTTAAACTTCAGTCATTTCTTTGCATTACCTAATACTTGGCTGCTTAAAATGTGTCTCCAACCGGTGTCTACCGAATCTTTATGTTGCTCTCTCGATTTCCAGCTGGTGCAGTCACAACTGTGTAAGGCTGTGGATTGGCAGACACCAGTTCTGCATTCTCACTCTGCAGTCAGCCAGTGTACAGAAATATTAGCAACCATGGGTTGGATGCCACAACGACAGCAACATTGGCAGCCGCCGTTTGTCTTCTTCACAGATGCACTTCTACAACCAACTGTGGCAACCAGTAGCAAGTGGCCCTTGCAACATATTTCATTGCCACACTGGGACACTGTGGTTTTTAAATATCACTAGTTGGAGGTGCATTCCAGGTGTCATACTAGTACCACTCAATATTTTTTTTACCTAGTATTCCCTAATCATTTTTATACTCTGCAATCACTAGAGAGCCATTTGTGCCACCAAACCCAAACGAGTTTTTGAGTGCCACTCTCCTCTTGGACCCAGGTGTCTCCCAGACTCTCGACTTCAGAGCAACGAAGTTCAAATCCATTTTTTCGTCGGGTGCTTCGAGGTTCAAAGAGGGTGGAATCACACCCCCGTGGCAAGCCAGCACCGTAAAAGCAGTTTCGACAGCTCCGGCAGCACCTAGGAGGTGTCCCGTAGCCCCTTTCGTAGAAGACACTGCCACTTCCTGACTTCGGTCGCCAAACAAGCGACGAATCGCCAACGCCTCCGCGGCATCTCCCAAGGGCGTCGACGTAGCGTGGGCATTCACATAGCTCACTTCGCGGGCGTCGATACCTGCATCCGCCAGGGCGGCTCTCATACACGAGAGCCCTCCTTCTCCTTCGCACGACGATGCCGTTATGTGAACGGCGTCCCCTGACAACCCATAGCCCAGAATCTCGGCGTACACAGTGGCGTCCCTCTCGAGCGCGTGCCGCAACTCTTCGAGGACCAAGATGGCCGCTCCTTCAGCTACGACGAAGCCGTCCCGACGCCTGTCGAAAGGCCTCGACGCCGTGGCGGCATCCTCGGCGGTACTCAGGGCCCGCATCCTCGAGAAGGCGGCGAGGCAGATGGGAGAGACGCTGCACTCCGTCCCACCAGAAACCATGACGTCGGCATACCCACGCTGAATGAAGTTGAAAGCGTCCCCTACGGCGTGAAGGCCCGTCGTGCACGCCGTCGCGACGGAGTGGTTAGGTCCCCGCAAGTTGTGGCGGATGCTGATGTGCCCTGCTGCCATGTTGGTCAGGATTTTGGGAACGAAGTATGGGCTCATCTTAGCGTAACCCTTGTCCCTAAAGAGCAGGCCGGAGTCGACAATGTAGTCGAGATCAGTCATTGCGTTCCCAACAGCGACGCCGGTTGACTGGCACTCGGCGTCGGTCTTCGGTTGCCACGACGCATCTGCGAGAGCTTCTTCGGCCGCTGCAAGAGCGTACGCCGTGGCCACTGTCATGCTTCTAAGGTCGGACTTAGAAGCAAACCTGTCGATGGAGAAGGCTGCGGGGTTTTGGGAGGCGTCTGTGGGCACGCGGCCGGCTATTTTCGACGGGATCCCGTCATATTCCTTGCCTAGCCGGATGATGCCGGATCGAGATTGAAGCAAGTTCTCCCACACCGGCTTGGTGCCCACACCCAGAGGGGTGACGAGGCCCAGTCCTGTCACGACGACCCTCCTGGCACCTTTTGGAGAAGTGTTGAGGCATCGTCTGCAGGTGCAAACCGAGCTGAGTAGCCGCCGCAAAATCTGAAACACAGTCAGCAGGACACGTTTAAGGTCGCAACATGAACACAGCGCATTTAGTATAAGACGCCTGTACCTGTTGATGAACTAAAGAAGTTCCAAAATTCAAGATAGCAGAAAAAAAAAAGAATTAGTCATTAATAGTGAAAAAATTGTAAGGGTGCAGGCGAGCTGGTGGAAGTTAACCATAGTTTTGTTTAACCCGAGACTGGGGTATTTCAGAAAAGGGACGAGAAGAAAAGAGGCCTCCTTGTGGCCTCCTTGTGGCCTCTTTTCTTCTCGTCCCTTTTCCGAAATACCCCAGTCTCGGGTTAAACAAAACTATGATTAGTCATTAGTTGTTTATACAGCTGGAGTTGAGTCTGTCATAACATGGTGACATTGCAACCCACTGTAGTAGAGAAATTTAGCCAGAGCTATGTTCACACGCACGCTGCACATGCTTGCACGCACGGGGCACCAGTGGTGTGCCATGCTTGCAATTGTCTATTAGCGGCGAGATGTTTCGGTGGCGCCTTCGTTCGGTTACCTTTCGTGACGTCATTACCTTGTGAACAACAAGTTCCATGGTGTTTGTAATGGGCATGGTAGAAGCCTGAAATCATAGCGCTCTCAAAGCAACACTGCCAACACCGTCAAAATTGAAGTTCTTACATTCCTCTTATTTCTGCCGATGAAACATCCTTTGCTGACGTCATAGTCAGCATTCGGCCAATTGTGGTGGGCCGACCACAGCAACGCTTTCGATCGCTCACGTCGCCAATAGGGAGTACTCACTGCCAGCTTAGCTGTGTGTGCGACTGCTGAGTGTGTGCTGATGACGAGCTTTATTTATTTATTTATTCTCTGCAGCGCCGAAGCATTACAGCAGAGGAGTGGGTTACATGATTCACATATATCATTATAAATTGGAAAGTCACATAACAGCACACATCAGCAATTTCCAACAACATCAATAAACATGATTCACACCAGCACACAATAGCAATATTACGAAAAAACCAATGATGTACTTAACACAGAAACTTACATTGCATTAATAAGGCTAATAAAAGAGTCACTGTTAGCTGATACAATATCAGACGGCAGTTCATTCCATTCCGATATAGTTCTCGGAAAAAAAGAAAACATCATATAGTTAGTTCGACATTTTATTTCGCGTATTTTTTTTACGTGGTCCCTCCTACTCGATATATAGTGAGGCATTTCTAGATAATTAGACTTGTCTATTCCAGTTAAATCATTGTTGATAGCGTAAATAAGTTTAAGTCTATTTTTCTTACGTCTTTTTTCTAAAGGCTCGATACCCATACAAACTTTCATTTGTGTCACACTCTCTGCTCGAGAATACTTATTCACAATAAACCTCACAGCGCGATTTTGAATGCCTTCTATCTTATCTATGAGATATTTTTGGTGCGGGTCCCATACGGCACTCGCATATTCTAGATGTGGTCTAACTAGTGAGCGATACGCTGTCTCTTTCAAGATTTGTGGAGCAGAGCGAAGATTGCGGATGACTAAGCTAAGAACCCTGCCAGCCTTTTTCATGATCATATCTGTGTCCTGATTGAACGAAAGGTTTTCTGAAAGAATGACACCAAGATATTTAATTTCAGACACTTTCCGCAACGAGTCTCGACCAATAGCATAAGCCGAATCAATATTATGTTTCTTTTTACTAAAAGCGACATGAAAACATTTGCTTGTGTTTAACCCCAGTTCCCAGGTCCCGCACCATAAACTAACCCGGTTCAAATCCTCTTGCAAAGAAGAGACATCGTTAACGTTCCTTATTGTTCTGTAAATTACACAATCGTCCGCGAATAATCTGATATTAGAAGAGATGGAAGACGCTATATCATTAATGTAGATTAAAAATAAAAGTGGTCCCAGCACTGACCCTTGAGGTACCCCCGAAGTTACATCTACGTATTCTGATCTTTTACCCCCCAGGACGACGCACTGTTTCCTCCCACTCAGGTAGTCTTTTATCCACCGGAGCACATTACAGTCGATATTTAAAGCACTCATTTTGTGTAATAACAATTGATGCGAAACAGAATCGAACGCTTTGCGGAAATCCACAAAAATGGCATCCGTTTGCAGTCTGTTTTCAGCCGCACTAACTAAATCATGATAGAGCTCAATTAATTGGGTACTGCAGGAGACACCTCTACGAAAACCGTGTTGGTTAGGGCAAAAAAAGTTATTATCTTCTAGGTGCTTAATTATACTACTATAGACAATATGTTCAAATATCTTACATGATATACAGCTCAAGGAAATCGGCCTGTAATCGTCAACAATTGATTTTGGACCATTTTTATGAATTGGTACAACATACGTTTGTTTCCATTCTTTAGGGAGCAATCCGCTTTCAAGAGATTTACAAAAAATTACATAAAAGTAAAAATAAAAGCTTCCACACTTTCTTTGCCACGTGCATTCTGCATCAAGATTGCCGGTCTTAGCAGCCCATAAATGTGAGCTCGTTCTCAGCATGTGATCCAAACATTGCTCTCCATTAGACGTCCAGTGGACACTCCCTTTCGACGGTGAGATGTTTTGGAGGCACTCTCCTATGATTCCCTCTGCTAGACCACTCGGCTAACTGGCAGTGTGGCGAGAGCGCAGAGCAGAGTCCTGATATTGGAATACAGCTCTGGCTCCGACTCTTGAAGTGTCTCCACAGCCGTCTATGGATTCTCTTGTTCCCGTCTCCATTTCGCCACCCACAGTGAAAATCTGGCTCTGAGGATGGCTTGCAATGCTACATCCCCCAATCCGAGGAGCATGCTGTATTTCGCTGCCAGGATACTGAGCTTTGCTTAAGCTTTCTTGTCATTCATGTGGCGAGGCAAAAATGTGTTGAGGCAGGCTCCAGCACCTCTTCTGGCAAAACACTGCTTGAGATCTTACACGACGGATTTCACAAAAGGAATCACGGACAGAACTTTGTCTCCGCAACATTCAACAAGGGCATTTTTAGTTGTTTTGCTTGTGAAAATTTTCCTCCCTGTGACTGTGGAGAGATGTTTTTCAAGGGCATGGTCACCACATCTCACTCTGAAGCTCAGCAGCTCCCTGAAGTTTCCTCCATTCTCCCAACTGTCATTGCCGTACAGGGTAGAGAGACGCTTTGGACAACCCCGCGCCGCCAACCTCACATCTTACGTTCTTAACTTCGAAGAAGCACCGCATATGCCTTGGGCCTTTGCCCGTACATTTCGCGTCCAGTGAACTTGTCCACTCATCTCTCTCCCTCTTTTTTTTTTTTTTTTTTATTGAAATAACAAAGACGTTGATAAGGAAAAAAAATTGGCCGAATCCACTGTCCCGCTTCGGCCGCAAAACTCTTGTTTGTCGACCAAATAATCACCACTTGATTAAGAACGAGGCATTGTTTGACAATTTTCTTTATCACATAGGCACGTCGGGGGGAAGCGTCGGGGGGAAGCGGGGGGGGGGGGGGGGGGGGGCAGCAATTTTTTTCCCTTCTTCCTAAATCCGCCCCTGGTTTCAGTCTGTGCTTGGGGTTGACGCCTTTCATAACATTAACCGCATGAACATGTTCGACTTTATTTTAAAAGATAATTTATTGTAAAATATTGAAGTTGAAGAGCGACTCTGCAAACAAATTTTCATAACTTAAGGTCATCCTCATTATCATTTATTTTTCTTGAGTAGCCGCAAGGGGTATTACACAAGGAGAGAGAACTAATCTAAGAGGGAACCCGATCTGAGAAGTCGGAGAGTCACTACTAGATAGTCTTGCCACGATTTTGCTAATCTTGAAGACCGGCTCTGAATAGAATTGAAAAGAGTTACTTACGATTGTGTTACTTACGATTGTTCGCTGGTACATCGCTATAGGAACCTGGGTTTATTGTACTTTGTAGACCCAATCCTTATAAATATCATTCTGATGCGCTAACAGTATCTGGGAAAAAAAAAATCCACGATGAATAAAATGGACGCAAACCAACCTAAGCGCGTCGACATGTTTGTCATCGTTGCCAGATAGGTTGACTTCTGCCGCCACTATCCATTATGTCTACTGGCGTCATTTCATTAAATTTAGTCTTAGACTAGTAAGTATATACATTAAATAAAATACTTGATACATAAATATTTTTAAGCGCAAAAGTCGATGCAGGTAAAGTTATATATTAAAACAATTAATGAAAACAAAGAACAATTTCAAAACAATCCAATGCAATCCAATACCACAATCAATATGGCGGCTGCTATGTGCCTTGTGAGAGTTTGTATCGCTTGACTGCTTGGCTCTACGTGGAAAACGGTAAGTATCAATTATTTTTCACTGTTAATGAAACGAACTGTTCCACTGGAGGATATTGCACGCTGCATGATGTTAAGAGTGCGGTTTCAATTGCTGCTACGGTCCCTCTCTTCCACATTCAGATGTGGCACTGTCACCCAAGAACCTCATTGTAATGAAATAGGCGTTTCGCAGCATACTTCGCGAAATGCTGTGCTGTCGGATTGACCGGTAAAGTTATTCTTGTGCTTTGAATGCCTTACAGCGGTCAGTATATGCGTACAAGTGTTGCTGCGCAACTGAGAACGAGCATTGCTCAGGCGGTTCAACTTCGTGGAAAACATATGGTTAGCATGGGTTAGCCTCTGATCTTTGCTTATTTTGCGTAATTAAAATGCACAATGTACCGTGGAAAAAAATGAGATTAATTAGCATTCGAAGTGAGGTAGGTTTTTGTGAACGGGATGGTGCTCCTGCGCGAGTACTATGCGTATGATTCGGTGCACGTGTTGTTTCGATGCTGAATGTTGCTAGAAACTGAGCAGAGAGTGCGGTGTGGTGTTGTCATCAAGCGATGCTTCTTTGACAGTGCTCCTCGAAGTCACTGTCAGTGGTCAGCAACCATGGAGTCATTGGTAATTTAGGGCGTCATTGCATGTTGCCTTCCGGAGCAAATGCTTCAATGCACGACCTTGTATGATGCACGAATTACCTTCTTTTTTTTTTCTCTCTCTCTCTTTCTTTTCTACTTTGTTCGCTTCCCGCTGCTACTTCCATTGATTTCTATCTTGCTTGGCAACTAACTCTCTCCTGTTCACATTTTTTGTCTCACATTATGTGAACAATAAACCAGACGATGAAAGAAGAACTACTGTTACCGTAATCTCATAATATATTGAATAAGCGTTTTCTCTCTGTGAAACTTTGACCCAGGCTGAAGAGTAGAGTAGTAGAGTTATTACAAGCTGTTCCACTGCCTATAGACTGAGATAGTGTAAGAAATTGGGGAAGCTGTAGTTGCAGACATTCTTCACATGTATCACAAATTTGGCATTAAATATAATCTGCATGTTAAATGTTAAAAAAAAAAAAAAAGTATAGTGGAGGCTCTGGGAAGGTAGTCTTTTTTTCACGTGAATCTCCCTCCCTCCTTTTGTCCCAAACATAAGTGGATCTCGTATATGCTCTTCTAAATGAATTTTTACATTATGCATGTCTATTTGGTTTTTACACTTTAAAACAGAAACGAGAAATAGGGAGTGATTATTTTTTTCCCATTGGTCTTTATGATTCCCTAAGAGCCAGAATGTTGATCTTCTATCTTTGTTGATGTCGTAGGGACCCTTGTAAGAAAATAATTATGATAGGTCTTAAATGCCGTACGTTTAAATAATCAAGTCTCCTTCCCCATCCCCCAAAAAATTAAGCACAGCATGGAACATCTTAGTCTACTTATGCATGCTTTGTTCCCCGTTTTCATTGTATGTTTACTTTGCTAAAATTGTTTTTTGATTGCACGAACTACCTCCACAACTAATGAACTGGCAAGGAATGTTTGCCTTTTGTATTCTAATTATTTTCTTTTCTTGCTCATCTGTGGTTTTCATATTTTTCCATTTATCAAATTGACATTCTTTTCTGCAAGCTCGCGTCTCATCGTAATGCTGAGATTTTCTTTTGACCCTATTTTTCTGTAGCAACAAGAAGCAGCCCATAAAAAGAAACCAACCCCCCAAAAACGAGCATCTACTCACACAAAGGAGAGTCAGAACACAAGAAAAAATAAGCCCATCCCCGTCGATTCCAAAGCGCAGAATCTATGCCCTGCCGTCGACAAGAAAGAGAGCACCCAGCCCCAGACTAATAGTGGTTTGCAGAGTGCCAAAGCCGATCTTAAAGTAACACCCTCTGAACAAGGCAAGTTACATCCCGAACCACAGGTCGAGGTCTCCGCAAAAAAGAAAAAGAACAAGAAGAAAAAGAAGAAAAAACCGAAGAACCCGCCAACAGACCCTCAACCAGAATCCCAGGCGTCTGCTCCGAGCACGAGCGTTGCCGAGGCGGGTTGCTGCAGTCTGAAGAACCTAAAGGACGTCTCGTGCCTGGAACTAATCTGCCCACACTCCAACAAGCACACTTCGCAGGCATTCTCGTCGGCTCAGAAAAGTGCCACCGCCACTTCCTCTGCAAAGTGTTCCTCCAGCAGCCTCGGCAACAGTCAGCTGCACTTCGAGACGCTCTCGGATGCAATCGTCAAAAGCCTCGCATCGTTGGATAAGACCTCAATCAGCATCACGCTCGTAAACCCCGAAAACGGGCAAGTGGTGGGCGAGAAGGTCGTGCACGGCCTGAGGGAGCAGACCCCGCTGTCATCGAGGGACTCCGAGCTCGTCATCGACATATGCGGAACGAGCGTTGTCGAGCTTGACGATCGGGTTTCTTTTGGCGGCGGAAGTGGTGCTACGCAGGGCACAAGCATGAAGGCTTCTGTGGAGAATGCGTCGAAGAAGTCTTCCAAGAAAAATAAGGACTGCAACGGGCCCCAGGCCGTGGCCGGAAGTGCAACAGATGGGAGGAAGCAGCAGCAGACAAAGCCGACCGGCGAGTCTCAGAAGTTGGCAATGAATCGGGTGGAAGTGTCGGAAGTATTGTCGAAGGGAGACGCGGCCTCGGCGATGCAAGCGGAGCCGACGGTAAAGTCGGCAGCAAAGGAGCAAGAGACTGGGAATGATGCGAACAGCGCTGTCGAAAAAACAAAGGCACAATTGAAGGCTGAACGGAGGGCAGCTTTTGTGAGTATGATGTTGCTTGGAGTTTCAGTAGCCTGAAGTCACATTTTTCGTTCCCCTGGGGAAAGTAGCGCTCGTAGCTGCAACCTAGGAGGTTTTCTGAGATATAGCTCAGTATAAATTTCTTTGTTTTAATTGTAAGTGTTATGGCACTTCATTTATTAGCTTCATCAGGACGAGCATTGTAAGCAACAATACATTCACAAGTTTATTATTTTATTAATTTTTCGTGTCCCAATTTTGCAATATTCCTTGTGAACAGAATTTTGCAATTCTAAATGCAGCTCTCTGTTTGCACCAGGAATTTGCTTGACTGATTTCTCATGTTAGTTTTCAATTATCAAAAAATAGATTGCATCAAGATGTAATTTGTTTGCAGTACCATGTTGCCACTGGCAACTATAGTTGGCAGGTTTAAGGGTTCAAGGGAAGCTCCCCTCACCTCCTTCCCCTTTAGCAGAGGGAATGCTGGAGAGGAGGTGGCCTTCTCTCTAGAATTCGCTCTGCTGCAGCGAAAAAGAGGTGCGAGGAGCTTTCCCTGAACTCTTAACCTGTCGTCGACTATAAATGCACTTATGCATGTGGACAAGATCTTTTACAAAGTGCATCAAGCCTATTTGTGTCTCATATCTTGGTTTTCAGGAAGCCCAAAAAGCTGCTCAGTTGGTTGCTCAGAAGAATGAAGGTAAAGCCTCTAACTTCTTATATACTCTAGGTGAACATTAATAGCTATACTATGAAAGCTGCTCTACGAAAGCATGAAAGCCTGTTTTGTCTGATTCAGAAACTCGGACAAAACAAGCTTAGGCATTCTCTATTCCACCTTACGGTTCTTTCATGGTTTAGTCATGGTTTAGGGTATTACTCTGGCAGCTTGGCAACTGTGCAGTGAAAGTGTATTTGGGAGTTAAGCACTATAGAGTACTGCCACAATTTTAAGTGTCCAAACTCGCATTGCGTCTTGTCCAAATCTTATTCCTATTGTTTCCAGCTAAGGATGCTCTATTTTCATGGTATCATGATATGTTGGCTGCAATGCTCAAACACCAAGCTTGCAGTTGTAGTCCGCTGGTCAAATTGCCTCTTTGTAGCAGTGACATAAGGACATATACCTATGAAAAAAGACAAATTATTATTTTTATTTTTTTAAGTAACGCATGGCAGGTAGGGGATTCAAGAGGAAGCGCTGTGTGCAGGTTGATGCAACAAAGGCACATGCGTCTGCCACAGCCAGCAAAGGTCCAATGTTTCACCTGTTCCCCTGTTTGTTGCTGAACATTCAGCAGAGGTTTCTTCCCTGCTTTAATCAAGTGCTCCATGTACAAGCTGCCGCAAATTAAGAAAATCACAATTAAATCTTGTGTACAGCGCATTCCACAGACAAACCCGCTCTCAAAACATCTGATCCGAGGCAAATTGTACCTCGATGCCACTGAGGCAGCAGTCAATCAATTTTTGGCTAAGTTTGCTGTGATTATACAGGACAATCCTTGTTTTCAGTTACTCTTGGAGACCAATATGCTAAGGAAATCCTATGTACTACTAAGGTTTTTGTGGAGTAAAAAGGAATTCATTTTGCGAACTGGTAAAAAATAGTTAATTTAAGCATTCTCAGTGCCATTTCACGTCCAATGGGTAGAACAAGGCAACTACAGTCAGCGAATTTGGGGCATTTCTTTAACCAGGATGACCAAACTGTTCACACTTGCACTGCTTGTAATGTAGGTATATTGATGCAAAAATTTAATTTCAGTGCCTCAAATTATGCACATCACAGGGTGCCCAGTTAACTGCCCTATTAATAAAAGGGCATACCGTAAAATCCCGAGAGATGCCCCACCCCCGAAAGATAGCCCACCCCTATTTTTGGCTTCATTTGCTATATTTCTTTAAAAACCGAAAGATTGCCCACTCCTAGTAGTGTTGGGATCAATGGGCGCGTTAAGTCGGCGCTCCTTTACTCCTACTCCGACGCTCCGAGTTTCATACTCAGAGCTCAGCAACTAAACGGTGCATATCGTACAGGAGAGCGACACACCGAGGCCGCGTTCCAAACCTACTCGAATGGATCCGAGTTACCCTGGCGTTTTATGTCACGTGACAACAAAAATAGCGAAACGCTGGACGCGGGTAGGTCTTCGATAACCACTTTTACCCTAGAGTTAGATAGAGTAAGTTTTGGAACACGGCCAGAAACTATCGATGGGCCACGGCCCACACAAGCTCTTTCTGACCGTGGATACGGGTGGCAGAAGCCGAAAATATTTCGAAGATAAATAATTAGGCCCGTGTGGAGCGGCAGAATCTAAAGCAAAGGAGACGGCAACATTATGAAGTTTCTACAAACGTTTTAATATTCCTGAAAAGTTTGAAGACTTGCTTCGTGCACATATGTAGAAGGTTACCTTGGTTGATCTATTTATTGACCATGCATGCTGCTCCGATTTAAATTAAAGACAATATCCTTGAACCCGCTCGTCGACGCAGGAAAACCCTCAAATTTGTCACATTTCCTGGTTCCGTCGGTTCCGTCTCGCAGCGAGACGGAAGCTACGCCGATACTGGTACACCGTCGTTCGATTGCACATCAATTCGTTTTTAGGTGGTATGCATGAACAAACCTTTTCCTCGACGCTCACTGATGTTTCGGCTTTCCAATCGAAGTATCTTTATTCGCTGGGCTAAGCATTATAAAAGGGACAGAGCGGTCCGAATATCTCAGCTCGACAACTTTTCAGTCGCTGTGCTATCGGCACGCTACCGTTTGATAGATGAATTACTTTTTCAGGCGAGAATGACGAACAAACCTTTTTCGGAACGCTAATTGTCGTCTTGGCTTTCAAATAAAATTGTTTTTACCTGCTAGATTAAGCACTAATCAACTGAAAAGGGGCAGCGGTCCGGCTACGCCTTTCGTCTCAACAATCTCAACAGGAGCGCAGCCATTTTGTTTGTTTACATGACGTCACGGAGCGCGAAGAAGTCACTCGACCTCCGAAAAATTCTCGGTGCACAAAGAGCGCGCTCGAGTGTCAGTCTCCGGTGGCACTTCTGTCTGTTTAGTGAAAGGAGCGCCAAACTCTCGCGCTCCGGAGCACGGACTTAACGCGCCCAATGATGGCCTCAACATAAATGCGGCCCTGCCATAGTTCGCTATGGTGGGATATAAGCGAATGTTGCTGACTGGGAAGTACAGTAATTTTTGCTTTGTTGCCCCTTGCCACTATAGCAAGCTTGGAAGGGACACAATCTAAACATAGCAATTCTTTAGAACTTGATTGTACACCGAAAGGTAGCCCACTCCATATTTCCAGCCGATTTGCTTTTGATGTTAGGTGGGCTATCTTTTGGGATTTTAGGGTAGTTTTTTTTCTGTTCTCGTGGACAGAGTGACCCACATTGTAAAGCTGTTAGTTCAGGAGCATTTATACTACTTGTTATTGTATTCACCAATTTCTAGATCAGTTTTGTTAGCACTGTTCATTGTGATGCAGTCACCTTGCTTAATCAAACACTGTTGATCTTGTCAAGCAAGTTCATTTTTCGATTGCATTGATTTTTGTAAACAATGTGCTTGGCTTACACACCTTATGTTGGCTTTGCTCGAACTGTCCTCTGATTTTAGGTGGGTGCTTGGTTGGCTTTTTATTGTAGCTTGCAGACTCTTCAGCTTTCTTTATAAATCCCGGATGATGTAACTGGTTACGTCTCACATGCAGAGAAAGAGGCTGGCGGCAAAAGCAAGGCAGACCTTAGGGCAGAGCGCAGGGCTCTTCAGGAAGCACAGAGGGCCGCAAAGATGCAGACCGCCGTGAAACCAGGCAAGGAGCCTGGTTCAGAAGATTCTGCTGTTGGGACACCGGCACCTCCAAAGAAAGCTGTCACCGGACAAGCTTCCTCAGATGCAAATGTGGAGGGGAAGGCATCCAGGCAGGACCAGCCACAGGGTAAATGCAGGGCACATTTCAGTCTTGACACTCCTCGGTATGATTACGGACTGAAAAAGTAGAAGATGGGTGTATTACCAGTTGTCTGATAAGCTGACACCATCCCTTAGGGATAAGGGGAATCAGGGTTCTGAACAAACTCCCTAGAATCTTGTTGATTGTGGAGAACGGCTAGCTTGAATGACTGATGTCTGTTTCCTTGGGTTTGTCCCACGCAGCCCAAAAAGCTGCCAACAAAGCCGGTGCTTTGAAGTGTAGTATTGGGTAGTTATCTATATGAAACCAGACCAAATCCCACATTCAGATTAGCACTGTTGCACACTTCTGGCGATTGTTTTCATCAAACACACACACTGCACTGCACCACATCTTAAGTGACCTTAAGGGGCAACTCTGGTCAATATTTTTTTAATTTGGGATTGCAGCTCTTTTCAGCTAAGGCAGTGTCCCTGAATTTTATATGTATAATTATTTTTTCTGCATATTGTATGTAGTTTTATAGATATCTTAGCACTAAGTTTGGTTTCAGGTGTCTATGGCAAAACGGAAACTATCTGCTAGAAGTATGGCAACACTGATCATCAGCTGTACGGCTGCAATGTGATGATGTGACGTCATACTGGTGCTACGGTATGCGGTACAACCAATCAACCGCAGCTCCACTGCGACGAGACGTCACAAGGCTGCTACGCCATTGTTCCTTGGCTAAAGGACAACCCGCTTGTCGCCCGCTAAAGAGCAGCTGGTCGCATCTTTAAAATCGGTTTTAGTGGAGTATGCGGCTTCATTTTGACGTAATATTTCGTTAAAATCACAGCTGACGTAATATTTCGTCGGCTGTGATCATATTTTGTGCCATTAAAGCGATACAGATTCATTTATTTTTGTTTCGTTTTTGACTGGAGTTGGCCCTTTAAGCAAATGGCATACATAAAAGGTGGCACCACCTTATGGTTTTTAGGATCAAGCAAGTAGTAGTAGTATGTAGAGGCAACCTTCGATTTGGCATTCCTGAGTCTATTCTTTAGAGGGCAACTACGCTCAATTCCGAAAATTTTGGGATAATGAATGATTTCACATTAAAAAGCACTAGTAAAAGGCACTATGCCATTTGCTTCGTGAAGAATGGGATATATATTATTAAAGGGCAACTCCGCTCAATTCCGAAAAATTTAGGCTTCCATGTGACTCACATTCACAAAGTACTACTAAACAACTCTACGTCTTCGGATTCGCGAAATGTGGAATATTATTTGTGTAATCCTAATTTAAACATCAGCAGATACCGAAACCGAAACTTCGGTTGCGTCAAGCAACATTGGTCTCGGGTCGTCAGAGTCATGGCACGTCACGTCGAACCACGTGGTCTTGTGACGTTCGGGAGGGAGCGAGAAACGGGACACGCAACGCAAACAAGTCTTTTTTTTTTTTTTTTTTTTTTAATTGGACGCGGGCAGGTCGCTTTGCATGGCGTGGACGGTGATGGCCCGGGGGAGAGGGGAGAAGGGGAGAAGACGAAAGAGGAGAAGGGGAGCGGAGAAACAGACCGATAAGCGTGCAGGGCAGCGCAAACTAGCGCATCTGCGTTACGGTGATCACGTGGGCGCCCGGTCAGCCAACACCGGGAGGAGAAACTCATGACGTCATTGTTCAATTTTACTCTGAGAAGTAAAAACAAGCAAAACGTGAGAATGACGTACACATGTCTCTGACGTAGTGGTTCAACGTTGGCCGCTCCAACTCCGTGGCATTGACTGCGCTGATGATTGCGCCTCGCGCCGCACGCTAGAGTTGGCAGATTTCGGCGATTTGGCTCGCTTGAAGGTTTGCTGGCCAGTTTATTAAATATATAAACGGAATTAGATCGTAATATTTGACATGGGGTCTTCCTATATGATACTGAAGAGGGCTACATAGTTTTCTAAATATCAAAAATGAAGCGGAGTTGCCCTTTAAGTCTAACCTTAAACATGAGCAGAAATCAAAACCAAAACTTTGGCTCCGTCTGGCAACATTGGCTTTGGGCTGCCAAGAACATGGCTGTCATGTGGTATGAGATGTCACGTGATCCCCTACGCAAAGACAGGCGAGATTGAGGCAGGCCACCGTTGGGGCGGGCGTGTGCCAGGCGCAAGTGTCGTCTGCACCCAACTTTTCACCATGTTTTGGTGTCCACGACATTCAATGACATTTGCATAATTGTGGCATTAGTATGCACATGTAGTGTGAACGAAACTCCAAGAGACAAGAATCACAAACGGTGAGACGACGATGGCGGTTGTGACGCAGGACATGGTGGTAACAGTTGGACGGTCGAACAGCTCTTAAGAAGCGCACTGCGCAAGCGTGTTACGCCAATCATGTGGACAGCGCTGAGCACTGAGAGGAAACGTTGCTGACGTCACCTATTATATTTACCTGGAGAAGTGAAAACAAACAAAAGGGGGCAATTGTGATGACATTTAGCTCAATGTTGGCTATGCCAACACCGTAGCCTTGACTGCACTGTTAGTTGCGCTTCAATTCTCCCGCTAGACTCAGCCGATTTGAGCAGCTTGGCACGTTGCAAAGTTTGCCTAACCGTTTAAGAAACATTTAGACAGAACCAGGTCGTAATAGTTTGTGTGGTCTTCTTAGGTAATACTGAAAAGAACTGCATTGTTTTTTTCAAGAACAAAAATGAAACGATGTGGCCTTTCAAAGCAGGGCTCTCAAACTGCAACATCCTAGAAATTTTCTTGACAAGGAGCCTTGTGCTTTTTGTAAGTGGTTTTGCCATCTTTAGCTTTCATTTGCATATACGACTACTTTTGGGCCCACACCTGATGTTGTAAGAAGATTTAAAACACCATCACACCACAGTACTCGCAGTTTTAAATAGAAGGAGAGCAAGCACACCATCCTTACCCTTAGTGAAAAGACGGTGAGAGTGCAGGCGAGCTGGTGGTAGCTAATCATGTCGTATTACACCTGAGACTGCGGTGGAAGAAATCGGAAGAACTTTCAGTAGAAGGAACAGACACAGAGAACGTCTCTGTTCCTTCTACTGAAAGTTCTTCTGATTTCTTCCACCGCAGTCTCAGGTGTAATATGACATCCTTACCCTGTTGCACAATTCTCTACGATCAACAAGCATATATAAAAATATCTTCATACTGCAGATTTCGCTTCCCTGACGATTTTTACAGTGCATTATTAGAAAATATACTTTTAAAGGTACTGTCTGACAGGTAGGAGCCCCAGCTCAAAGCTTTATCTTTGGCACTTTCTCCTCATGAGCAAGAGTTTGAGCAGCCAAGGTGCCTCCTTGGGCAAAGAGCTCGTACTTGTAGCTTAGTAGTGGTATTGCCATTCCGGTAGATTTATATAAGAAAAGAATGAGAAGCCAATATTTAGACAAAGCAATACTACTCCGTCCGAAAGAAAAGAAGAATAGTGCAAAATGCTTGAACACGTTATGTGAGCAGAGTTCCTTTTTGAGCGGAAATAAATTGGCGATATAAAACTGTTATTCGTGGCCCACGTAGCGCTCAAGGCATGGGAATGGGGACTCGCAGCCGCAGGATGCTTGCGGGCCACTTCCCAGGCAGTCATGTGCCGCATGTTTGAGACCCCTGCTCTAAAGCATGCCTGCAAGCAGTCAAGTGCAAACACCTGTGTCAAATACAAAGTACCAATAGACTCCAGAGTTAAGAGATACCGTTGGGTTAGCATTCATGTCAAAGGAGTGCTACTGTTAACCTTTTCACTGCCAGATGTTTTTCTAGCGGCTCCTCACCCCTGCCGGGCTTTTCTCGCATGCTGTTTCAGCGGACGTTTCGTGCTAGTAACTCAGCAATGGTGCCCTTTCTTGCATGCACCATAGCATTAGACAGTTAGAAATACATTGAATTCACATGCTGTCACGTCTTTCCACTAATGTATACGGGGTCAGTCCGCCGACGTAAATGTGGCAAGTGCAGGACGCTGGAGATGGTTTGACTGCTCAGCCATTGCATCCATGACATTCTGCGTCCACAAGCCATTTAGATAAGATGCTTTATCGTTATCGCTTTCATTAGAGTCAGAATTTATCAAAATTTGATAAGTGTGTTCGCCCTCAGAGGGCAGGCGCACGTGCCATGGCTGCGCTACCGAGACGAAGCGATGGAGCAGTCAAAGAAACATGCGCTTCACTTGTTGCCTAAAATTTAACCTACAAGTTTTGTGCTTTACACGAGTTGCCTCGGGAGTGGCAGGCAGTGAGCTTAAAATGTGAAACAAGTGTACTCGGGCGTAGCAGAGGATGTGCATTTGGGCGTACCCAAGTCCTCTCAGTAGTGTTAGTGGGAGAGTTAAACAATCAGGGAGACGACGAGTAAGAATGTCCAGACGCTCCTGGACCGGTTGCCTTGTCAAGTACCACCCTCTGCTTTCTTAATATTATGAAGAGTTTTCTACCTTTCTTACACCTCGTATTCAGCAGCTTGCACGTTTCACAATTCAGAAGTGGGATGAGCCACGACTGCGACCATTCAATGAAATACTACCAGCTGCAACAGCAACGGAAATCCGAGCGAGTCCGCTAGGCCTAAGGGACGGTGGGCGGCCTTTGAGAAGCCGGGTATCTACGAGTCCAGTCGCTTGCTGGCATTTAGCATTACTGGTCGACGATACAGAACCAACAATGCCGTGGGCAGCAATGGCAACAGTACTGGCCAATGCTTCTGTTGAGATACGAGAGGTTTGCGAGAAGATTTTTAGGACACATTTGCCAAGCCGCCTTAGCAGTGACTCCTTCGACCAGGCTAGCCATCATTTAAGATTGGGGATGAACCTTCAGCCACAGGGTTGGACGAGTCGAAGGGAGAAGCCGACGACGAGCGATGCAACCGCCAAGTGACACGTGCCCCGGAGGAGGCGAAAACCATGAGTGCGAAAGACCGCACCAACCAAGGACCTGATGTAACAGGACCTCTTGGACGAAGGAGCTGCTGTAACTGGACCTCTCAGATGAAGGT